AAACATCAACCTCATCCCGGAAAATAACAATCCCTTCCGGCCTTAAAATCCGATCCGTCTCAAGAAGAATATCCTCAATTTTGCAGCTGCCAAAAATTAAAATTCACCATTCATCACTAGCTATCTCTGAGATTTCTCATAAAGTTCTTAGCTTTTAGTGTTGAGATAAGAAATGCTAATTCTCAAAAAGTTTGTAGCTTTAAGGTTAAGTTAAGAGATGCTAATTCTCCGAAAGTTCTTAGCTTTAGTGTTGAGATAAGAGATGCTAATTCTCAGAAAGTTTGTAGCTTTAGGGTTAAGTTAGGAGATGCTAATTCTCCGAAAGTTCTAAACTTTAGGGTTTAATCAGGGTTTAAAATCTTTACCTGTGTTGATACAAGCTGAAGACACCACTAGCGTGAATGAAATCGTATGTTCTTGGATAAGTTGAAAACCCTTCACACCTGCAGAGATTTCAATAAGAAAATATGTTGAAAAAATGGAGAGATTATTACCATTAATGGAAGGAAGACAAAGATTGTGTGTATAGATGTTATACCAGTCATGGTAGATACCAATGAGACCTCTCTCATAGACAACACTCAATGTGTTCTTTGTAATGGTAGGAATCACATTCATAACCCAAGACTTGGGCGATTCGAGCGCAGCAGCGAATCCACCAAGACCAGCATTCATATCCATCACATTACGGTACCTAGTGGAACCTATCAGCCTGTTGATTCTCTTGTATGCATTAACACGCTTCTTCCACAGTTTGACATCTTCTTGGTATGTTTCCGCGTCCACGCCATTAATCAAACCTTTAGAGACACTTGGAGGCACTGCGAAGAGCCTCTCGGGGAACTTCTTTAGCTTTCCTCCAGCAACTTCTTCTTCGCTTGATACCTTAGGGAACGGTGTCACGCACGTCTCCATCTCCTTGTACCAGACATCGTCAGTGTCCTTCCTCTTGCAGGTGTTAACCGGTGTTGATCTATCGCATGACCTGTCGTTTATCTTCTTTCTGAAAATCGCAATGTCTCCCTTCTCATACTTCTTCTCCCAGCATAAAGACTCTGCGATTTCCTCTATTCTCTTTTGCTCGGCATTGAGCTCTTCTTTAGTTCGGTTCCACGTCTTGTGCCAGGTCTTCCAGTTGATTGGAGGGCCCGATAAAACCCAGTAACCTCCAGGTCTCAGGACTCTGTCAACCTCCATTAAGTACGTTCCTTCTGTACAAGCAATCAAGAAGACAAAAGACAACATTATGAGTATATAAATTAGGCAAGAAAATGTGGATTTGCACCTACTTTTGATAGTTGATTCTTACCATTTGCAGTCCACGGTATCAAGCATCGAGAGCATTGAGCCATATCAAAGGCTCTTGGTGGATAAGGAAGAAGAATTGATCCAAGAACAGCGATAATCGCTGGAACACCTCTCTCAAGAGCAAACTGGACTTGAGCTTCGTGGTTGTCACGTGGCGCAAACGACATAGTCAAAACATTTCTCTTAAGCATGTAAGCACCCCAGCTTGCAACCTAGAGATGAAGAATTAGAATCAAGAAGAGCTAAGAAATGAAATGAAGAAAACACAGATCTTGAAAACCGACTTACTCCACATCCAGTGTCCAATGCGGTTCTAACGGATCCATCTTTGATTGGGATAATGGAAGCTAGCTCATCGATATACGCATCAGCTCCTTGAGGAAACATAGTTCCTCCACCAGGGAATTTAAACACATTCCCTTGAAACTGAACCCAATTCTGTCCAGCTTTCTCAACGGTCAAGCTCTTGAAAGGAGCATTAGCGTAGTGAACGTAATCTCTGCTTTTAGGCCAAGGGAATGGAGTCATATACCCTTTAGGAGCTGGAACAAGACAACGAAGTTTCTCGTTCTCGGGAGGACAGTGTCTCTCTCTGTAAATCATGTTCTCTCTTGGGAACTTCATGGCTCGGTCTTGCTCTTGACAAGGCGTGTAGTCCTTGAGCTTCACATCGCACGGCTTGAAAGAAACTGGTTTCGGATCAGCTAATCTTTCAGGGATCTTGACTGTGTTGTGATGAGGCTTAAAGTCGAGCTCAGTGACGACGTCTGTGCATTGAGCTTGCTTCGTTATCTCCATCGCTATGCTATCTCCTTTACCAAACCCACTCTTTTGCCATGCTCCAAGAAGGTAGAAGAAACAGCATAAACCAATCACAACGATTAGAGATAGCGAACTTCTTGATCTGTTATTCCCTGGTGGGTTATTCTTAGAACCCATTTGAGATCTCCTGAAGAATTCGAACAAATCATAAACTTGGTTCTCAGTAAAGCACACAACTTTGAGCTAAGAAAGATCAAGATCTGTCAGAGAGGATCTAGCAAATTTCAAACTAAGTCATGTCAAATTCGAAATCGAGACATTAGCAATTGAATTCTAGGGTTTATCAAATGGGATTTAAAGACTGTAACTTTAGTATTGAAATCGAAAACCCAGAACGGATCTAGTTGAAGCAAGATGAGTTTGAGAGCTAGAAAATGAAGCTAGAGTAGCGAGGAAGTATTCACCTGGTCGTCGAAGTAGATCTTGTTGCAGAGAGACACTAAATCTCTCTTCCCTTCTCAGATCTCTGGCTTTAGCTCTTTCAGTGATGAGCTTGCAGGAAAGTATAAAGCTTTGAGTGTGACAGAGAGAGAACTCACTAAAATAATAGTGTCTTCTTCGTCTTCATTAATCGGAACACTAATTGAGATTTCATTATAACTTGATGAAGGCGCGTTCGATTTTTAGTCATATTGAAATTGATTTTTTTTTTTTTAAATGACTGAATTAAATGTGTGTAGTTTCGCAGCAAGATGTTAACAATATTATTATTACAATAGTCATAGATTTAGATCTAACCTGCACATGCATGCATATGTTTTTTTTTTCAGTCCCTTTTGTATGCGTTTGTGTGTATAAGCTATACTTTTTTTTTTCAATAACTTTAAGCTTTTTAGTAATTGATTTGATTTACCATAACTTTCAGATTCTGGTTTCACCATTATTGAAAAAAAAATTACTTGGAAATACTATGAAGATCAAATCCATATGATGAAAGAATACATAACAATAAAAATAAAATAAAACTTAATTTTTTGCAAATAAATAAGGGTATGAGTCAAGGATCTTGTCGTCCCAAGTGGTCCTTTTCAGACAGTTGACGAATCTCTTACTTCGATCTCCTACCGACACTCACATTTCCTCGGTTACTTAACCGGTCACCGTCATAAACCGAGTTAAATCGGTACAGTGCAAAACAATGATTAACAAAGCCCATGTTCTTGCAGGCAGAGCCGTTTAAGTACGTGCAATAAAAGCAGTCGACATAATCTCGATTCAAGCACGAAATTATTTTACATTTCTTTTTAAATATGTATATAAATTAGGAACCTATACTTTTTGAAGCCCTTGTTTCAATTGTATTTGGAAGTGAATTTCTAATCATAATGAATTTTCAAGAGAATAAACAAAAAAAAAGGAAAAACTTTCCTTGTATTTATAGAAGGGGAAGTCTCTTAAAGAGATTATAATGTTTTTAAATTTCTCCACAACCTTTGATGACTTGCTGCTTCACTTTGATGTTTGTGGAACTATCTACATAACTTTTCTTTCCTCCTTTCAGAGCTGCCGTGATTGATGAATGCATCGTACCGGACCAAACCAAAGTTTCATGACTCCTTTATACATTTTAATGGTCGATTTAAATTAATCAAATTATAAGCAACTGTGTTGGTTAGCGTTCAAAGTACTCCTTCTAGTGGTGGTGTGGTATGTTTAAAGCTTCCTAACTCATTAGGTTCATAGTAATTTTTTTCTAGCCTAATTATTCTTAGGGCCGGTTCTACCTTATTTATAAATTCAGAAAACACACGCAAGACACAAGTAATGCATCATGGTTTGGCAACGTGCCTAATCTTCAAAAACTTATTAAAAATACTTTTTGACTACAATTACAGTTAGTTGTCAATATCAGATATACACAATCCTAAAATTCCTTATAACTCGTCTCCGATGTGTTCTTAACTCAATATGATATTAACATCACTAATATACAGCTAGGACTCTCATAAGTCTCCGATGTGTTCTTACCTTTATATGAGATCCTATGATAAACTCTCACCATTTTCTCACAAATATGTAAAACGGCTACAAGCCTTTTCTCTATCTCTCAGGTCTAAAAAGTCGTTTTTCTAAACCGTACATGCTAGACTTATTTAATTTTTGTTGCCTCACATCTTCCTTTGCAAAGCTAACCACTTTTCTAAAGCCAAGGAAAATATTCCTTTCTGATTTGGCATAATCAAAAATAATATTTCATATCCTATTAAACCTTTATCTTCAAAAAATCTTTTTTCATTGTGATTTGGTTCAAGTAATATCTTTAAATTGTGCACAATCATATTTTCAGAACTGAGGCACGTACAGAAAACAGCAACGTCTTGTCTTACTTCCTGTCTTACTCTCTATATTAATTTTTTTTTTAACTTCATGTTTAACTTGAACTCATCAAAAATACTAACACTTTGAGTCTTTTAACAATGAGTCATTTATAATCATCACTCTTAGCTTTCACAACACAAGAAAGTAAGGATTGACTTGTGATAAGTTTCGATTAGCGTGCTTGTGTTAAGGTGTCAACAAAAAGTTCATCTGGAGGACAATTATAGGGACTTTGATGAATCGATTGAATTTGAGCCTCAGTTGCTCTCATACCATGTAAGTGAACAAGAATGATAAGGAGAAAACGATGAATGAAAGACAGTCTGTTATTATTTAATGATTGAGTTGTTACACTTATATGAGTAAAGTAATCTGGTTTAGTCCGGTTCTAATTACATTTAGGTCTTTTGGCCAAATTTTTCTTGAATATATGATTATGATTGAGACTCTTGTTGTAAAGACTTTCGTGAGGGGTTGCAGTCACGGATAATAAAAACTCTGAATTTGATGTCTAGGTATACAGTTTTTGCTGTTCCGTTACTCTAACCATCTCAAGTGTGATGTTATTAGGTAAAAGAAATCATATACTATATGGAAAATGGAATTTTGAATGACCTCTCCATTTTGTGTCTCGCATACTATATTAAAAAAGATAATAGGTCATGGGCTTTTCTATTATCAAATTTTGATACATAAAACGAAAAAAAAACTCGGTGCTAGACCCAGGAGGGGTCGCCCCACTCGCCATAAGTTAGAGCCGGGACTGTTTCAAGCGGTGTAAGCGCTCTTTGCGTTTCTGTCCAGCTTCATTGCATCCTCCTGAAGAAAAACCAAATCCAAAACAGATGAAATACAAACAATGAGAGATCCAAAGAAAAACGTTTTGAAGTAATAAGCATTAAGAGAAACTCTCTTCTTACATGGATGATGAAACCGATGCTGTTGTTGTAATCAAGAAACTCCTTCCATTGTTTTCCAATGCTCACCTGCAACATTGAAGGAAATGGAAATTTTCATGTCTTGTTTTAGCAGAAAAAAGATTGATGGGGTTTTGTTGAGAAGTTATAATTTCTTTTTTATTACCTGAGCAGCTTCGTTGGAAGCGTTTTTGGTCCAAATTGATATCCTTTCTTGCTTTCCTCTAATGTTAACAACAGCTCCACAGATTTCATCTCCATGATCAAACTGCTCTCCAATCAACGCAAGCAACTACAACGAAACGCGTGAAAAGAAAAACGCGGTTAGACTCGATTGGGTGGTGGAACAAGAATCAGGAGTCAAGTAAAAGTAAGAAGAAATAAGAAACATACGGTGTAAAGCCAGCACTTATCAGACTTCTCCTTAGGGAAGGTCATAGTCCATTTGCCTCCATTTGCACAAATAGGATCCTCCCACTTAGGTTCGATATTGTGTTTGAAACAGTAGAAGTCAGCTCCTCCAGCTAGCTTGCTCGGATGCCGCATGTTATTGTACAAACTGCAAAGCAAAGTAAAATGCCTTATATGATTAGAAGCCAAAATATACAAACCTCTTAATCTCATGGTAAGAGAGATAGACTTCACAACCAAAAAAGAACACATGACACATAACAATAGCATCCCACAATCACCAAGAAAATGTTCGCTCACGATCTGCTACCCACAAAAATGCTAAGAAAGAGTTAGTGATTTTAAGAAAGTCTCCTTCGAGCTTCTAGTTTCGTTTTCAACACCATAATTCACTAAGGTCTCTCTAACATTAAGAAGAGGTAAAAACTAGCGTAACTCTAGTTCAATGTTTAGTTCCTATGAAACAAACAAGATCTAACTGTTGCTTTAGATTATAGAGAAGATCTTAGCTACATAGCTTAAACACTAACATAAGCTGTAGCTGCAATTTCAAAGACCAAACAAACCAATTCTTCACAAACAGATAAGAAAAGTGGATTTCACGGGATCTAATCCGCCAACAAAGAACATAAATTTCGGACTCTTAAATGAAACCAAACTAAAACCCAGATTGCAGAATCATTGTAAGAAGTACAGGAGATTGTTTGTAAATGCCTAACCTCCAGAATTCCTCGACGGTGGAGAAAGTGAAGACGGATCGCAAGGAACTTCCCCAAGTGGTCTGCTTCGATTTAACAGAAGGGTTATCGAACCAGAAAGTCCACGAATGCTCCAACTGATGCGATTCAGGAACGGCGGATTTGCCCGATTCGTCCACGTCTCCGTCTCCTTCTCCGCCGACTATCTCTCCTTCCTCAGCATCGTCCCCTTCCTCGTGGTATCGATCAATCGGTTTCTCTGTAGAATTAGGGTTCGCTTCTTCCGTAACAACAGGCTTGAGAGTATCTTCTACCGCCATTGTTCCTCTTCCGTCTTCTTAAAAAAAAAACTGCTTCTCTCTCTCTCTTTCTCTTCCTTCTCCAAACTATACAGCTTCTTCTTCTCGTAGGGTTAAATTACGATACGACACTGTTTTACGCGTGACATACTTTATTTATTTGTTTGCTAGTTTTTGGGCCCAGGGACATAGACTTTAACGGGCCTTTTCAATAATGGGCTTTGACTTGTTTCTCGATGATTCGTGCAATGCGATATCTCTTCGATTCATGGATTCGAACACATCGTTACTCGTAAACATTTATAGGTATCGGTAAGACTTATCGAAAGACATTGACAAATGACAATATACTTTTGGATTTGAAACCATCATTCTTTGTAAATACTCATACAAAATTAAACTTTCAAATGAAGCAAGTTTAGACGTTAAACAACCGGTTTCTAAATTTGATTCCTTTAATCACAATTATCTCAGATTTTAACATTTTTGGCGATCAAGTGTGACCAAGGGACTTTGTTGTCATATACCTTTTCCGGAGATTGTAACCTACCTATTATAATTTTTAATCGATATACTGGTTTTTTATTGACCGATTATACTGAAGTTTTGAAACCCATGCATGTATTATCTTATTATATAAAAATCTAAATCATTGGATATACCACAGCCACAAGAACAAAATTAAAATTTCTTAACTAAGATTCGTTTTCCAAGTCAGACGAGAAGAAAAGAAAGGGAGGAACACAGCAGATTTCATAATGTTCGCAGTCGAATGAATTCTATATATTACTTCCTAGTTGATAGTGACGTATAATTAAGTGAATCTGATTCTATTCCATTAACTGTTATTGTGCATCACTAATTAATAAGTATACTAAATAGATAAACTAACTTGTATGTATAGAATAAAATTCATTTTATAAGAATAGTCAAAGTTATTCTCCACACCAATATTTCGAAAGAGACTAGAGACTTTGTTTTTATTTTTAAAATACATTTCTTTGTTATTCTTGAGAATTTATAAGAACCAAGATGATTTTGTCACTAAAATATTTAATTGCAATATTGCATGGCTTGTTATATATATGCCGTAAAGGTAAGAATCTCGAATGTTATATATATACATATATATATACATTTCAAGAATATAATTTTGTATTTGATAATGGGTCATTCAAGAATATATATCTGATAGTACGTACGTAACTCGAGAAGAATAATTAAAATCTGTTTTTATTGTCAACCACTCGAAATAGTTTAGTCTCATAACTTATCCCTCCTGCTTTTTTTTTTGGGTTAAACCGGCCTTCCCTCCTCACTGCATATATACGGAATATTTTACTATCATGTTCCCCAAAATTCAATATAGGAAATATTAGTATTAACCTTCTACAAAAAAAGGGATATGATGTTCAGAATTCCAGTTTCATATCTACTACCAACCCAAATTATTGAGAGGAATGTTTAACGTCAGGCTTGGACATTCGGGTATTCGGTTCGGTTTTAGTTCGGAACCAATCAATTCTAGATATTTCGGGTAAAGAAAGTTAGGATCCATCAGATATTTTTATAGATTTCGGTTCGGATTCGAACTCTATATTCGGGTCTAAGATTTTTTGTCCAGGCTTAAAAAAAAAATAATTTTGAGAACCGATAAATATCCAAAAAATAATAATTTAGTTTGACTTGAGTTTTTTTTAACACAAATTATATCCAAAAACTCAAAAATATATCTCAAAATCCAAAAATATACTCAAAAATTCCAAAAAATAAATAAAATATATACTTAAAACCAAAAATATAAACAAAAGATTCTAAATATAAAAAATTACTAAAATTAAAGGATATAGTTATATTTTAGATAATTCAGGTACCTGATTAGTTCTTGGTTTGGTTATGGTTCAGTTTCAGTTCTTTAGATATAAGAGTTTAAAACCCATCAGATATATTTAAAGATTTTGGTTCGAATTCGGTATCTTTATTTTGGTTTGGTTCCGATTCGGATATTTGGATCCGGTTTTTTGCCAGTTTGAAAGTGACTTTTTTTTTACTTTTTACTACATAAGTGATAATTGATAAATAATTAATTATGAGTACGACTTATATGAGATAATGCCTAATGCGCCGTGGTTTTCTTCCATTATTCTATAAAGATTAGAATCAAATGTCTCTTTCAATTTTCTTTTTCCTTTTTAAAAAAATCAACATTAGTTTTAATGTCAAAAGCAAACTCACAGAGCATGTCCAAGAACAGAAAAAAAATTCGAACTATACTTGATGTATATTCTTTTTATGAAAGAATATGCAAAACTTATATAGGTTGTTAGTAAATTGAAACAGGGTTAAATGTATCTTTTGCTTTACCTTTTTTGGGGGGTCTTTGGACTTTTTTTTTTCTTTTCTTTGACATTGTTCTAAGAGGTACACTAAATTAATTTAACGCATCTTTATCTCAAGTAAAAAAATGTTAATCATTGTTTTTATTCAATCAAAGGCAGCGACCATTATAGCCGTTTTTAAAAATGGTAACTATTTGATTACTGTACGTTAGAAAATTAATTTCCATAGTTGTTTTTTTTAAAATATCACCATAGAATGTTTTTTCATCGATAGAACCCTTTTGTCTCTTCTGTTGAAATTCAAAAATATACTGCAAGGGGAAAACGAAAACAGAACACAATTAGGCTAAGAAAAATATTGGGCCGACCGACCAGGACGTCTATGTCGGTCTTGTAACTCGTGTTGCGAACCATGCATTCCAGCTTGTATGAACTTTGATTATCGGAAGGAAACAAAGCTAGTCTGACTTGAATTCCAATAATACGTGGTTTTTGGTTCCATTTTTATACAAAAATATTTGTTTGGTTAGACTTATATACTAGATAGATACATGTACATATTGTTTTTGATAATGGATACATATACTTTATTGAGTGACCAAAAAAATATGAGCGTTTCTGATACCAAAAAAAAAAAACTTCGAGGAGTTAGACATTGACAAATATGGCCCTGTTTGTTTGCTCATTTGGATGGATGATGAATCAGTCAAATGATGTTTGTGTAATTACATAAATTGACTCATCTAGATGATATAGTTAGATAGATCATTTGGATGACTTATAAATTTATGAAGAAATTTGAAACTCATCCAACTGATTCAATTTGAAGCATTGGGATGAACATGATTCCAGTAAAAAAAATCGCATAATCTCGATAAACATGTAAAATCTCGTTTTATCATCAAAAAAGTAAATCTTGTTTCCTGTAAAAAATATACAATCTTGTTTTACCGTAAAAAACGTAAAATCTCGTATTCCCGTAAAAAACATAAAATTTCGTTTTCCCGTCAAAAAACATAAAATCTCGTTTTCCCCATCAAAAACGTAAAATCTCTCGTTTTACTGTAAAAAAACATAAAATCTCGTTTTCTCGTCAAAAACCTAAAATTTTGTTTTCCCGTCAAAAAACGTAAAATCTCGTTTCCCCGTCAAAAACGTAAAATTTTGTTTTTTCGTTAAAAACATAAAATCTCGTTTTCCCGTTAAAAAACGTAAAATCTCGCTTTCCGTCAAAGCGTAAAATCTCGTTTTCCCGTCAAAAACATAAAATATCGTTTTTCCGTTAAAAACTTAAAATCTCGTTTTTCCGTTAAAAACATAAAACTCGTTTTTCTGTCAAAAAACATAAAATTTTGTTTTCCCGTTAAAAACGTAAAATCTCGTTTTCCCATTTATTATGTGCATCACTCAGATGACTCATGAGAATGAATCATTTAAATGGATCATTTAGATGCAAATGACAAATGAGCAAACAAACAAGGCCTATATGCAATTAAAAGTAAACAATAACTCAACCTTTTATCGACTTGTCGTGCTTGGTGGGGGGGGGGGATTATATATTTTGGATCATAATTGCTGGTGGAAAGTCATTGGGGAACCATAGCTGCATAATCTAAGTGCCAAGCTTGCTCCGGATTTGTCGATATAACAAAATGAGGAGGCTCAGTTCATGAACATTAGTTACATTATGTCCATTGTGTGCAATACTAACATATGAAATAAACTACCTTTTTTCTTCAAGCATGAAAGGAACTACTTATGTGTGTGAAAACGCTTATTTCAAACGACATTTGTTATGAAAACGGAATGACAATACTACTTATTAGTTATTATAAAAGTAAATTGTCACATTCACACAAAACTGTACACATAATACCATATTTTCTAAAAGTTAATTGTCACACTCATAAAAATTTGCGGATGTAAAGATGTTTGATAAGAGTCTAATTAGTTATATATAAACCAATAAATATTTTATATATATAGGTATGTGTTACAGTGTTGGTATTCATTCAATCTTAATAACAAAACGTTTGCTTTTGTATAAATAGGTGAATAAAAAACTAACCCAAAAAGTGAATAACAATAATATTTTTGGGTATATGACCAACGTTTTTTTTTAAGTTAGCTTTGATAAAAAATAAAAGAAAATGATTTTTTAGTTAGCCCCACATCCTTGGTGGAGCCGAACGGATTTTAAAATATGGGAATTTTTTTTCTTTGGGGGGGGGGGGGGATGTATTACTATATTAAAGTAAATGTTATGTCTTTATTATTACATGCTTTTACTTATTATATAATTTATTTCCTTTCTCTATCTTGTTACCCATAAGGATTAATCTGAATTGAATAACAAAGGTGAAAATAGCAAAATCATGTTATCGAAAGGTAAAAATGTGGACAATGGCATACCAGATCATCACAATTACATTTTTTTTTTTTGTTATAATCATCATCAAATATTCTGTAACATAAATTTACAAATGATAACAATCGGTCGAATTCAACTACATTATATATGTAGCACATGCGATTATAATGAATAATTCTAGCTATGAACAATAGCTCCACAAAGAAATTCTCCCTACACCATATTAATCCAAGATGAACAGTTATAACCACATTTGTGATGGACAATTCTTTGCAACACTAGAGACCACGACGAGCGGTTTTACCTGTAGCACTTGAACTTTCTGTTATTCTCTATTTATCTACTATGTGATACGAGTCAAATCGATAGATAATGCGTAATTTCTTAAGACCCTTATTAACAACAGTATAACTTACACGC